CATGATTCAAAGTCCTGAGTGCTAACCGCTACACCACGGGTCCGCTTGTTCATTGTGAATCTACAAATTCGGTTGTTCCTCAAGAGACGTGATCAACGAAAACAATCTGACCACAGTAAATCTGAAAAAGAAATGTCACTGGGAGATTTTATATCTTGTGGGCGGATATCCCCTTAGGCAGGAATGAAGACAGTTTCGCATTCCTCATTTCTTAGACTGAAGCGAAAAAATCGATCCTTATCTCTTTACAACTTGGTTCACGCTGAGATGTATATTTGTTTGTTATTCCCGTCGAATTCTATCACTGTTAATAAAATTAAAGAATAATGTTACACAAGAAGGCAATTGGTCTGATTTGAAATAATTTTTCCCTTAAAGAATGCACTGTGTTCCAAAGTGATTCAATTCCGAAATAACGAACCTATTCAGTGACTCAATAAAATGTGTCTTCTTATCACATCCGTTTTTAAGCACTTCGTAATCGGTCGATTACTGAAGCAAATTGCGATCTCAAGGAACACCCGATATCTGTGGTACGTTCGCTATTCCAGTTCATTTTGTTAGTAAAATATTTGATTGTGGGTTTATTTCAGAAAAAAACTGGTTGATCGCGTTGCTATTTATAGCAGAAATCACTTTCATATACTTTCACTTGATCTGTTACGGTTCCGTTTTCCATTAAGGAAGGCTTCGCAGCTGTATTACAGTAGGTTGCATCTCGAGAAATACGAACCGTATCAAATAAAGTGGCAGGGGGTTCGCCCCCCCCCCTTCCCCGCCATCTAGAGGGTGGAAGAAAGGAGGGAAGAAGGCGGAAGGGGAAGGGAAAACAGGTAAGAAGGGAGGAAAGAGTGGGAAAAGGGCGAAAGCAAAATGGGAGGGAAGAAAAAAAAATAGACGTACCTCTCAAAATTCACCTGTTTTTTGGCAAAATTCCTATAAGAACCATTCTCCGCTCTTCCGTCTTGAAAAAAACCCCGGTCATCATCCATTATAACTGTTTTCGATCACATTGCTCCAATAAAGAATTTTCATGATTACCGTCTTGTCCCAAGCCATAATCTACATGACACGCCTCGCAGAAAAACAGCAATTAATATTCAATAATTAGTTGTTTGCTCGAGAGACTAAATACGGCTGACTGTAGTCGATTCAATTTGTTCGTTGAAGCCATATTAGCAAATTATGTGATCAGCAGGAGACAGCAGCGACAACTGACCGTTCGCCAAATAAAGCGGAAGCACATGAAACACATGAGTGAGTTGATATTCGCTAGTTTTTGTGGTTTTGTGCAATAATTGTGGTTCCTTCTTGAACATTATCTAAACAATGAGCGCTATGCTAAAATACTGAACCACTGACTGCTGCGCTGGAGAGACTCTGTGCAATCTCTATAACAGTGTTTCTCAACATTCCTTTTTCAAAATTTCCCTTTTTTTAAAAATTTCACTGAACAAGTTTGAACGATACACTTTCAATTATTTAAGTCATTAGTATCATGATAATCGTTGCCGTTTATCGCGGAGGGAGTATTGCACAGGTTGGAAAATACTCTCATTGAAAAAGTAGAAATTATCATAAAAAAGAAATCGATATCATCAAATACAAATATTACAGAAAGCAAAAAATCAATCACCTGAATCCCATGAAAAATTGCTGCCGACGAATTTAACATTTAATTGATTAAAAAACCATGAAACAGTTCAAAACTCTTAAAACTTTAGCAAAAATTGAAGGCAAACTTATTTCCAAAAATTAGCCATTCGGTCACATTAGTGACTAAAACTTACGATTTATTAATCTACGAAGGAGAATCTGAACATATGACAAAATTGGTTAAGGAGGTGTACTCAAGCTCAAGCTGAACATACTTGACTGACCAATTTTAGAACACGGAAAGGCGTGCTAGAAAAAGCACGGCGCAAATCTAGATCGTTGATTTGTTGTCAAACAATATCGAAAATCTGGATTCACATAAATAGGGTGGCATGAACGGTAGGAGAACCCGTATAGCTTTTTCGGACACTTTCGGATGCAATTTAATCACCAGAGGAGAAAACTTTGACAAAGGCTTCTCGTCGAAAGCATCGCTGGCCTTCGAATCATTCTGGAGTTCCAAACATTCATCCTGTACATCATTAACGGCTTTTCCAGCGACGTCTCGAGTGGATTTTATAAGGTTGTAAAATTTGCTTCTGCCGTTTGCGTAAAAGAATTTCAAAACGTTACAAATTCCTTCAAACTCATCCTTTTTATTAAAAATAAGCACCATTACAATCAGCACATTTTTGCTGTCTAGAAGCAAGGTCGTATATCCCCTTACAATAAAATTCCGGATTTCTGGATGCGATCAAATCCTTGAACATCGTTTCGGCAGAACCTTGGTTTCCGAACTTGGTTTCTTGCCTTGATAGTACCTTGATTTCTTGCCCAGAAACCGCAAATTTTGAAAATTGGTGATCGGTGGAGGACTAGTTGGTTGGATATGACGGCTGAGGGAGAGTTTCCCAGCCCAGTTCCTGCGGTTTACGGATAGCGATTCTGGAAGTGTGATGAGCGTGTCGTGCGGCAGGGATCGAGTCTTCCTGGTCACAGAAATTGACATAATCTTTGCTTATTTCTGGGGAACCAATTCCGATTCGCTACAATGCGATCGTGCTGCTATCGTCTGACCCGGTTCCAAGAGGACCCGGTGAACTACCTGACGAACTGTCCACCAAGCTGCCACCATAGTCTTTTTCGGATGCAACGGTGGTTTTGGAGTGGATTTTGGGGACTCATCCCTATCAAGTCATTGTGCCGAACGTCTACGATTGTCGTATAGGATCTATTCTTCCTCACTTGCAATCAAATGATCCAGAAAATCTTCCTGTTTTTTGAAATGGGCAGAGAAACACAAATTTTTAGGCGCTAATTTTGCTGTTGTTCACACTTGTCCATCTTTTTCACCTTTCCAATCGAATGGAGGTGGTTGCTAACGGTCGTTTTGGTAACTCCGAGTTGCGTAGCTAATTCTCGAGTCGTTCTACGCGGATTCGACTCCACGAGTGCCCTGAGGCGATTATCGCTGCATGTTCTAGGTGGCCCTCCGGCATAGTAATCGTCGAGTCTCTCACCGCCGTTAAGAATCCTTGCAAACTCATTCCGTACCGTACGTTCTTTCTCTGAATTCTGTCCGAAAGCCTGACTGATTCACCGAGTGAATTGTGCTGCAGATAGCCTTAGGCGATAGTCACGAAGCGAAATTGCGCGAAAATGCTGTTTTTGCATGGTTTCTTCAAACAGTTCTAAAATAGCCCAAAATCAAAATCTTTTTTGAAACACGCATCATGAAGTGATCTTTAAAAAGCACCTAAACAACACGTTTGAACGTGAGTGGCGCCCGCAGTATCGATTGGAAAATAGAAGATCCCGCAGAAATCGCAAAAGCAAATTTTACAACCTAATAAATCATTATCATTATATTACCATTCAATTAAGAGAATTATTTCCTTGCCAAAATTGTCATTTAAAATCAGGGAAGTATTTCCTTAATTCATTCTCTGACCCACTGAGAGGATCCAAAATTTCAATTTTCAGTATTTCCGGCAACAATCCGCCGTTACTTCCACCATCCAAAACTGCTGAGGTCCATTCGAACATTGCAAAATTGTTCATCCTTACCTTCCTTATCCAGTTCTCCAACTTACTCATGAAAGGCTTCAAATAGTCAGCAAACTTTATTATATTCCCGTCTCTCCCTTACATTCGTATTCGGAGCTTGTTAATCTGTTCAAAAACGTCTACCAAATAAGCAAGACACATCAGTGATTCGTCATTGCCCGTGAATCCTTAGAACTCCCGCTTATTCTGAACCTTCAAAAAACTTTGAATTCACGCTCAACGACACAACCCCAAGATGTCCATCGAACATTCTTATGGAAAAGGATAGCACTGTTGTTGATTGGTATGCATATCGTTACAAATATTTTGAAAAGACGTGGATCGAGATCTGAACGCTTAATATAATTTACCGTTGGAATTGTAAGATTCAAAACTTTTTCGAGTGTATAAAGTTTTTGACGCTACTGCTTCATGATAGATCAAACGGTGCACTCCTGTCACATTTGGAGAACTTTGTTTCACAAAAGTTTGAAATTCCGATTTTTGTATCCCATCTATGCAGCACTCATAAACATTATTTCAAACGAGTTACTCTGAATCAAAAAATTACGACACTTTTTCTGGGACATCTGCAAATTTGGTTGTTTCCTCCAATTTCGAGCAAAATCTTAGAGCACACTTTCAAACGTCTTCTAAAAATTTGTGTTCACGGCACTGCAGTGATTCTTGTCATTCCAGAATACTGCAATCTTTCAAGAAAAAGTACTGTTGCAGTGAGAGCCGCAATGAAGCGAACAAATCAAATGTGGACAATTCAAACAGACTTGTTGAGAGGAAGTCACAAGTGATAAATGAATCAGTGAAAGTGGCAGAAAATGGACGCATCAGCGATAACAATCGTTCTGAGAAAGTAATCCAACCGGACAACATCCCGAGGAATGATGACGCATTGGAAGGACTCACTCAGCAACAGTCCGCCGATGATAAATTGCCCAAAAACGATGACATTGCAAACGGAACTCATTTTCCAGGAGGCTCGAGCAGCAAACATGTAAGACAAACTAATGATGGTGCTCCAGGGAATAAGAACTTTCGAACGAATGCATTTGTGCAGAATGTTGGAAATAATGAAAGTCTAATTGTAAGCGATGGAAATTTAATTGAAAATTCGCAAGAAGAATCGCAAACAGGAACCAATGTACGTAATTTTTCCAAGCAATTGAAACCTTTTGAAAAGCAGATCTCAAAGGAAGCTGCAAAATCTGAAAAGGTGGAACGAAAGTCACGTGAATGTGATGTGTCAACTGATGAATCACACTCAAGTAGACGAGCAACGCCGAGAAAAGGAATCAATGCGAAGGAAACTCGGGTCCAGCATTCCACGAATCATGTACATCAAAAACATAAATCAAAAAAGAAGTCACGAGAGGATGGTCCACTAAAGCGTTCCCAACGCTCGGTTAAACAACATTCACAGAAAAGTTGGTCTGCAATAAACAAAAGACAAACTCAACAGAAGGACATTTCGAGGAGTAAACGACATTCACGAAATGGCCAATCACGCAATATTGCAAGCCGGAAAGGTCTGAAAAAAACTGACGAAAGGAGCGCTTCAAGAAAACAAATGCAACATTCTAAGAAACGATTAAGCAAGGATGGTTTCAAAGAGAGTAAATCAAAATCTAACAGCAACAGTTCATCAGTTCATCACAGACACTCGAAAAAGAGCAAATCGCAGTCGCATAGAGAATATTCTTCTTCAAAAAGTCAACGGGATACCGATGGAAGTACGAGGTCGGGGAGTGCTGAGCAACTCAGAAAGCATACCTCACATGACAGAAGAATTCAAAATGGAGAACAAAAGCTCGCTGCTACTAGTTCATTACAAGAAACTAAAAATTCGAAAAGAAGTGATTCAACGAAAGGACAACAACTAAACGATAGAGGTCGAGTAATCGCTTCTAATCCACATTCACAAGTCGACAGCTCCTCGAAAAGCCACCATTCACATCGAAAATCCAAAAGAAAGAAACGAAAATCACTAAGGAATAAACAGTTCCCTGAAAAATTTCCTCGAAGTTCCAAAACATCTAATTCGAGTGCCAAATTGCACGCGAATGCTGCCAGTAAAGTATCGAATAAATCAAATCACAGCAGAAAAAGGAACGCTGAATCGAAATGGTTAGAATTCTTTTTTCATGCTGAAATCCCTCAGTTGAATTTCTCTTGCCAATACTCATCCTTCCGTTGGGATGAAACCATATTTTTATTAATTCAGGATGGATAATCTCCTGGCATCACCATTGTTGAAAAATAAAAGCACCGAAACGAAAATTCATTCAAGGCAACCGAGTTATTAGACTCTGGAAGGTTACGAGGATACAGCTTGTGATCTTATGAAACAATTGTTGCAATCTACAGCAATGTCCTATTTTTTCATCAATCAGTGACTGAAATAGTGAGATACTGAAGGGATGTCACGTGTACAGTGACAAACATATCTGGTGCTATTTCAGTCTTACTTTCTCTCGCACGAGTACTTGACATGTCACCGATTTAGCTTTAAAACTGTTTTCAACATATCATCGTTCATTACTTCAGGTGGTGAATTTCGCTCATCGCTCAGTGGAAAATGCTCTACTGCTATAGTCCATTGTCAATTACCTCGCACAATTTCATCTGCTTTTTGTTCTTGAAAGATTAATTCATTGATTAATGTAGATTATACACTGTCTTTATAAAGTGCATCCATCACCACCAATGGAAATCTCACCGATGAAAAAAACCTCATAGGAAAGCCGGCATTCAATTTTGATACATTAGCTGTTCCAAAGAGCAATTCCATTTTCAGAAAACGCAGACCATTTTGACGACCACATTTATATGTTAGACCGAAATGTGAGATCTGATGCTATCAACATAACAAACGACTTAAATAAACACCCGTCACCCATCACCAGTTATTTTAATAAACACAAAAAAACTTCGATTTATATTCATTGTTGGTGTAAATTTGCTGTACATATATGCGCATTAATCCATCAATGTGGGATTCGGTGTGTTTGGTTATCGTGTTTTTTGATGATTAGTGAGCCCCACGTACCTCATCCAAAAGTTTGGATAGATCAGTCATCCGGAACCAAATACCCGTCATCCGTTAATTTGTAGCTGTTGAAGTTGCTGCATATTTTGTTTACGAATATTATTCACGATCATTATTTACGATTATTTTAATAAACACTCCAGTGCATTACAATTTATACAAATTCTTTACCACAAATCAATTCAAATGAACGATTTAAAGTTACGAATATCAACGCAAATCGTGAATGTCAATAGTATAAAAAGTTATCAATATAAAACATATAAAGCAGATAATTCTATGAATACAGTTTCTCGTAATTTTCAATTTTCCGACAATATTTTATGACAACAACAATGCACTGTCATGAAAAAAACTGGAGTGAAGCGGAATGCAATTGCACAAAAATGACAGCAACGAATACCATTCAATAAGGCAATTTTTGATGGTAAAACAGAAAAAAGCTTCGACTGAAATACCGATGAACGTTTCAGCTGTTCAGATAGATGAAACAATTCATAGAATTAATTAAAACGCAGAGCAAATTAATTCAATTTTCATCTACTTCTGAACATATTCAACGAAACATCAGAAAGTATAAGAAATATTTCAAAAGGAGTTCATAGAAAACCATCTGCTTATTAATAGAAACGGATTGAGATTCGCTGAATTCGCTGACACGGTTAATGAACAATCATGGACTAAAGGGTCATCGTAAGAAGGACAAATTCACTTTTACGGAGTCTAAATTGTTTTCAAAGTCAAGATATATTCCTCTGAGAACCGAATAGAGATAGTCACTCAGATGGATATATGAATAACACGTCAAAATATTGACTTCAGCGTTTAACATTAACTGTAATTTGATTATTAAAAAGTCACTAGTAATTGGTAGATTTGACTATTCACACTGGAAGTAAGGCACAATGAAACGCTGGATCATTCCTCTTCTGATCGCATTCATTTCTTTTTCGCAGAAAATTTCTTCAGCAAATCACTAGGAAAAATGATCCAAATTCCTGATTTGTCATTAAATACGACTCGATCAATTGTTACTATGAACGCTTATCACATTATTCGTGAAAGACAGACAAACGATGAAACAACGAATCAATCAGCAATAGAAGGAAAAATACCAGAAAATTATTGCATCGATTTATGAACAGCAACGCTGATTGATCCCTCTTTTGTGATGATAAGTTTTGATTTCTTACTTTGAATAGTGATAATGAGTGCGTTGGTGCGAGATGAATCTGAGTCTAAATTAGACGCTATCGATAATAATTGTGATATAACTGGAGCTGATGAGGAAGGAAGAGTGCCGCGATAGCAAAGCGGTAACGCAGCCGCGTCTGCACACAGAACACCCATCACATTTGGTGATTGCATCCTTAAATTTGAAATTATTATATCGCAATTTTAATAACATAATCAGCGAGGTTCATTTGTACAGACTGAACTGTCTCATCAAAAGTTGCTGAAATACGTTTCCTTTGTCCCGTGAGAGAAAAGCGAAGAAACAAGCAAAATATTACATTTCTTCTGCACAGTTTTCCATTTGAGCTTCCATTCTGCAAACGATGCACGAAATGAATATCAAATATCAACCACTAACCAACAAACAACAATAAATGCCGTTTGCGACAGAATACACCACTTAAATTTGATCGCTGAGACTCTTAAACTTTTTAACAATGTAATTTAACATACACCATAAATTAACATTCTAAACCGACATTCATTGAACTGAATGAGGACCACAAGCAAATCCATATGTGATACAAGATAATTTACGAATATTGACTTCTGTCTCACATTCAGTTTTCAGTGCTTACGGGATCGCATGAACGAATCAAAAATTTGAAAAATGGCAGTTTCGACGAATTCATAAAAGTGAAAGAAGACAATCGCGAAAAGATACATGTTTCATGCCGAAATCTCAGAGCAGAGAAAATCTAACTTGTTAAAAATTTTGGGAACACATTATGAACAAAAACCATTGCATAATGAAGGTGAAGGGGGGGGAGAGAGAGAGAGAGATAGGGAGAGAATGGGGGAATACAGAAACTACTATCAACGAATAGAATGGATTAAAACTGATGAAAATATCATTTCTAACGAAATATAAAATCGTTTATTAGAAGAATTTGAAAGAACAGAAATTCGAAGGAATAAATGAAAAAACAGCTTTATTAGCACATCACAAAATATACTTCGCATTTACATGGTGCTTCCTCTTACTTCGAATGAATGCAAACACGATATTTGATAATGAATCACCGGTTATAATTAGTTTTACTATGATTATTATTATTACTTTTCTATCTGAAATTGAAAGTTTGTGATCTACACATTCCCAAACCTTGATAAAGCACATTCCAGACTGATATTCTTCTCAGCGGGCACGAATAAAACCACATTTGCGCAATAAATTGGAATGATTTGAACTTGCACAATAAATAAATGTTTTTGTGCAGAAATGAACTGTTCCTTGCGTTGCACTTTCCAGAAAGTCTTGCCATCACCAAGATTCATTTCGTTGCATATCTTTCGAGAAAACTCATCAAAAATATGAAGCAATCATTGAGCGAATGCACAAATTCGTTGGAAAATATACGCGTTCATGATTTGAGAAGTAAAAACAAGATGTCTGATCGACCGAGCAAAAAATTCCCTCAACTGTTTATGAAGAGTTACTCATTCAATAAAACTAGATGATCAGCTCATCAAAACCTGATAATATGGAAACGGAACACTCAACCAGAAGGAAAAACATTAGGAAGAAAAATTCACAACTTATTAAATCGAAACTTCTTTTCTGTTGCTTTACCTTTTGTTTTTTTACGAAAGAAAAATGAAAATTGATGAATTCCGAGATAAGAACATTCTACGGTCTGCTCAAAATGAAAAAAGGATCGATGAAACAATGAAAAATTTCAAAGTGGTAAAATTAACACTTCAATGATACATACAGGAAAAAATTTACAAAAGCAAAGCATTATGAATGTTAAGACTTTCTCTTGCGATATGATCACCTCAACAATGAACGACTGAAGAACGAATCGATTTCGCTGAGGTGTCAATCAAAACAATGAATATCCTTCGTCAAATTCACCACAGTTACCTCGTCATCACTAACAACCCATCAACAATGAACACATAACAAATTTTTCGGACACAACGTCTCATCGTATGAATGTATCACTGATCGTCTCGAAGACGCTTTCATCTTATGACTAGTCAATTTTATGACTATTCAATAACCTACAACGCATTTCATTTGAGGAAATAGAACAGAAAATCGTTTCATTTTCTATTCTATTTCATACCTCAGAGCAATAATAATAACAACAATTTGAACATAATTTTCAACGAAACTATAAGCACCTCTCATTTTCAGCCAAATACTCAATGAGAGGTCATTATATGGCTATTAAAAATTGTAATCATCGAACTGCAAGAGTTGTATGCAATGGCCAATGGATGTGTGCAATAAATGATGAGGATGTCCATAAAAACAATGTTTAAATAATGTCGAATAATCGAGGTAGTAGCCACAATATTCTATCATGTATTACTGATCATACTTTTACCATATTCCACAAACTCATCAATGAGTACTGGCCATGCGCCTTCGGAATCATAATTACTAAAATCAGCTCGAATCGTCTGCGAGAAGTCCAGCAAAAGATTCCACGTATCTCGAGAGATTGCGCGTACACCCTGCAACTCAACAAATTGAAACAGCAAAATGAATTAATACCATTGAGAAATGAACGATTAAATTCAGTCACAACAAAAATGAACCTTTTCACGAAGGAATTTAACCCAAAGAGACTGGTATCCGAAGCTACCACCGAATACGATATCCCAATACGCTATTGCTGTTTCAACATCTGAAATGTAAAACTCAACTAGTTCAATCAATGCGACAAATACATAAACCTCGTATCAAAAATATACGCTCAACTGAATGTGAATTAGAGAAAGAAAGAATGATACATTCCAGTGGAAAAGATCTTGAAGAAGTGACGAAGAAGCATACCAAGAGTCCTTTGTGAAGAAACACGAGCATAATTAAATGTGAATTGATAAAAGTCACGAAATTTGTGTGGATCTCTTAATTCGTCATTCAGCGATGGTAATTTTGATTTTAATTTATCGATTGAGTCAACCCTGCAATTGGTATATTGAAAAGATGAGAATTCAATATCGTACAAACGTAATCATCCTTTGGTAACAAAACGAAGTTGGAAGCATTGATTTGTGTGAGTGGAATAATTCTTTGGCGAAATTGGCTGAATGAAAATAAAATACTGAACACTCGAAAAAATATGGGCAATGAACACAAAAGATACCTACCTCATATCAGTAAGACCCGTACTAAATTCCTGCCAAGAAAATTCGCACTGTGTTTGAGCTTTGAGTTTCCAAGCCAACACCAGCACAGTCCTCTCGGTGGGATCCAAACCGAGATCCGTTAATAGCTTGAGCATTCCATGCGGCCCGATACGACTTGGATCTCCATCTTGTCGATCTGAAAACCGCATTTCGATACGTAAAATTGGGAAAGCACACCACAGCAACTTAAGAAACAACTGAAATTAACGATCGTTGGTTAAAATCACAATGAAATGGCAATAACTATCAACGACCTGACATCTAAAGAAACACTGTATGAAAATTCAATTCAAAGAGTTATGCTAGCCCAAACAGTGACTGAAGACTAGTCCTTGGTGGTCATAAACTGGAACAATTATATATTGCGGAATGTTTCGGACAATTCGAGAAAAGATGATCCGACGAAATAATCAGAAAGTCATTTTGACAATGAAATAATCAATGACAGTTGAAAAAAACCAGCGCGATTCATTTAGGAAGCAGTCAGAAGTTGCTAAAAGCAAACGAAATGACTAGCCATTTGCATATCGATGAAAGAATGTTTGAAGTGCTTTTTGATCGATTGCATCCGCATAGCAAATGTAAAGATGTGGATTTTGATAATACGCATCACACGCCAACTCCAAATTCCAATTTTGACTACTCAAACACTGAATCGCTGTTTTCTCATTACTTTGTGTCCATTGCATAAAATTGCGCACCTAAAATGGAGTGTTCAAGACATCATAATTATTGTTGTGAGCATGAATAGCTACGATCGTATTCACCATCTTAAAAATAGCAGAAAATTAGAAAGATAAACGGAGTAGGTTCCAGCAGAGACTGTCTAAAAAGATTCTTGGGTTGGTTTACTACTACAATAGTGGGCTAAGGTAAGACTGGCGCTTCCCACTTTCTGGAAACGAATTATACCTCTTCACCTGAAGTCAACAATTCTGAACACAATATTTTTAAATCTTTTTTTTTCGTCGTCTAGAGCTAAGAGAATGGTTTTCTGAGTTTCTTATGAACTTCTACAAAAATATACGCTAACCTTATCTCGTTGAGCACTTTTCAGTTTATTCATTGCAGAATGAGTAAGTTTAATACGCTTCACTGACTGAGCCACAGTGAAGCGTTTATATTGTGACAATTTTGGACAACCTGAAAATGAATGAGAATTTATTATGAAATTCATACTCAAATAATTCACTTATGCATCACGACTATGGTGCTCAATGATGATACATTTCAAACCACTCAAAACTCAGACAACAAGGATGGTTGCCACGTAAAACTGATGTGACAGTTTCCTCTCATTTCATTTGTCCACTCACTAAAGTGCATCGTGCATGAAATCCTCAAATCGAAAGCCTAATATCAACCACACTATCTGAGAAACTGATCACATCATCAACTGGACATGTCTGCACAATCTTAAAACACCTGCAACCCAAACAACTTGAGATATGTGATGATCTCATCTTCTTTTTTTTTTCAGAACAACGTACCACGGCGAATAAGACGGTGACCGACAAATCCGTCCGCGACCAATCCGTACCGGGTGACGGATAATTGCAACCTGCACATTTGAAACTCCCGACTGTCTGCTCGCCATAATTCGTTTCGGTTCGCTTTTTGAGCAATGAGGCTGGTTGCTCACCATTGTGTGCGCATATATCCTCTCGGCTTAGGCTTACATTTATGTTAGGCCGCATAGTATGCAATATACGCGCACACAATGGTGGACAGCCAATCGCACTGCGCAAGAAGCGAACCGAAACGAGTTATGGTGAACAGACAATCGGGATGTAATCATCCGAGTTGCAAATGTTCAGGTTGCAATTATCCTAGAAACTCCGTACTACGTCATTTTGAAGCGCATAGTCGGTCAGGAAACTTCGTTTCGGTTCGACTTTTGAGCAATGCGTACGCATGTTCACCATTGCGTGCTAGTATTAGGAAACGTGATAATTTGGAGAATATTTATCATTGTTTACGCATGGCACGTTCGTGATATTAGTTATCAGTGAACTTAAGTGAGTAATTGAAGATTATTGATGATATTCCTACTAGCTGTTGTTTTCACAGGGTGACCTGGGGCTTCGAAAGAGCTCTCGTTAACGAAAATTGCAAACGAGTGTTGTTTTGTTTTTTTTTTTCACAACATCATGGATAATCTTGCTGTTGAATGTGTCTGTGAAAGTGATCCGTGCTGTAAGCAACCGCCCGAACTTTGGATGAGTTTCATTCCTGTAGATTCACCTTCGTTGTTTGGTGGGATGGATATCACAATAAATCTGAGACTTTGGCCCGTGGTGAGCCACAATGGAATGCAGGGCTCAGACTTTGCTTGAGGCTGGTGAATAAGCTCACCACTTTTATCGAACACGTTAACTACGAGATTACCACCTTATGATATCTCTAACCTAAAGAAAAAGATTGCCGAATTTGGGCATTCATTACATGAAATAATATTAGGCTGATTATTCGTTTCGAATTGTCGATGTATGTCAATTTATGTCACGTCATTCTCCACCTCAACGGATCTAACAATGTGTCTTATGATGGAGAAGGGAAATGGTTCTTTTTTCAAGCTGAGAGTGGATCTTTTCTGAGATTTTCGATTTGGTTGGCGATGGCGCTACAGGGTCAAATGTTATGAGATGAACGTTTTTGTATCTGCTGTATTCAGTGTTACATGAAATATGTGCAGGTATACGGAACAAACGAGCATCTCAGGCATTATGATTTTATTTTTATTCATTTAATCAGCAAATCAAACTCATTGCGAGTTTATGCCTCTCTGTTATCACCAATATCACTAGTGCCTGTTGCCGTAGATAATTTGCATAATTAAATCTAGTTGAATACCAACAACAATCCATTAAACAATCGCAGCAATGACGAACATTTTGTCGATTGCATAGAGCGATCAGCAAATCAAAGTTACGTTTAGAGTTTAGACGGATCCAGTGGAATAAAACTTGGAATGAAACTTGATGTGTAGATCGAGCAGCGATTAAAATACCCTCGAAATTTTCTGTTTGACTTGAAGTACACAAGTTCAAGAAATAATTGAAATTGTTACCCATTCTCGCAGAAGTAAGAAGACGCCAAAAAGATGTTTTGATCTGATCACGAAAATACGTTGAATTTCCTAATAGTTCTATTCAACAGTTCCTTTCAGCTATTTATTTCACTTTGATATGACAATAAAGAGCAATTCTTTAGCAGTGCATGATCGAAAAACTCAGTGACACCGAGGTAAACCATTGAGATATTATATCGAATTCGGCACGAAATCTAAAAACGAAATAAAAAATCACATTTTCAACGTAAAAGATTTGAACACCGAGGAGAAAGCAGCTTCTCACAACTTATAATGGCGCTTTAATTCAAAAAAATAGTCAAAAATGTGGTATAGATAAAAATGTGAATAATAGAGTTATGAAAAATGAAGTATACGTAAAAGCATCAATCATAACAATTACACCGTGAACATAGGCACAATAGTAACAACCAAAACAAATGCTGACGTTACAAGCGAATCAATTCGGGAGATTTCAGAGCCAAATGATCGCTTCAAACGATATTTCTTACTGAATCCTGAAAATATCACATCATCAGTTTTCGAGATAAAGGACATCCACATGAATCACGAACTAAGAATGCGAGGAAATATGGGATCATGACCAGAAACATACGCATTTTGTGGAGATCCGACATGGCGAAAAAAATTTATTCATATAGAAGGTATAGGAAAAAACATCCGGTGGATTGAAACAGTAGTTACACCTGTGAGTTTGATGCTGCAGCAAATTGGTGAACCAACTTGGATAATTTCAGAATCGGTCAAAAACAGGTGTGCAGGCCTGAAACGAAATATTTGGTGAATCTAATGAAACGCAGTGAATAGAAAGATCACTGAATTGAACAAAACCGTTCCAGCACTCAGCAGGTTTGCTGACGAACCATTAATGACCAGAAATGCATGGTTCACTTTCAGATATGCCGGAAGAGTTAACACCGAAATATAATTCCAGAGAAAAGCAAAAGAAAATTTTTGTAAATCCTTAAATGACACCATGAACTACAGAGTTCATAATCTCGAGAAGCTATGAAGTCGCGAATGATCTGTGGAACAGTTTTTTCTGGTTCTGCATTGTAATTATGATGAAAAATATTATTCTAATAGCGGGAGAAGATTTTCGATCAATTCAGGCTAGCTTACTACTTTCGCAAGTTGCCTCTCAAAGTCATCGACTCTATTATGACGATTTGTCGAGCGATTCTTACGCACTGAAACTATCTTGAGATTGGAAGGTATTCAACAAATTTGTATGATAATACCATCCAGTTATTCATTAATCGATTTTGCGATGTTCGGCGTGCTATATGTGAGTATTTTGTTACATTTTTTTACATATTACATAAGACTCAACTGGACATAAACATCTGTGGGAAATCCTGTGAACCTTGTACGACTATAGCATGTATATATTTTAGTCTCTTGCAAGGCCAAGCGTGAGATTTAGAATAAAACTGAGCATAAGCTCAAACCGATTTTAAGCTTCTCCACAGAAAGCTAAAATGTATCGTTAGACACTGCTACTTTCCTACGAAGTTTAACAGATTGAAAATACAAAATTGGAGCATTAGAATGCTGCAGAATGGAAAGCTCAGCAGTAGAAAACAGCGAGTGAAGGAGGAACATTTTGCAATGAATGGAACTCAGTGTCTCCAGCCCAATTCCGTTAAAGAAACTATCCTGCTTAGTGAGAGTTCAATAACTAAATTACTTACTATGAATTAATGTTTTGTTATTCATCAATTCGAGTATAGAATAATTGCTCAATAAATATAACCTTTAGTTGCTAATGGTGTGGATCGCACTGTCCTGTCACTCGACGACTGTACGTCCTCATCATAAAGTCGCCTCATTCTGAAGGGACACTGATATGAACTGATGATAACAGTGCACTCTGACAATAGTTTAAACTAGAGGCGAACGCGGTTGCAAGATTTCACTGAGTTGGATCGATATTTCATACTATGTAGCATTTCCTACATTTGTCATTGTGTTATTTGTCATTCATGATCAGATCAAATCAAAAATCCTGACCATATGTTCATAAACTAAAAACGACTTCACCGTTGGCTATCTTGATGGAATTCGTTCATTGGGATCATCCTGACTTCTGAAACTCATCAGTGTACCTCAGAAATACAAAGAAACATCATACAAAAATCGTATCGTTCATAACAGAATAGGAACTTTCTCCAATAGAATTATTCGAATGACTTCCAGCTCCAGCTACTTCTTCCATCACAGCAACTTCAAATCCGTAAAAATATTCAGATCAGGAGTGGAAGTGATTTTCTTTCATACATCCGAGTCAATCGAATGTTTAAATGTAGAACTAACTTCTTCGTTTATTGGCAGCCAATTGTTTTGCTTTTTTCGATGTCACAAATAACAAATCTCTTCGGGAATAACTCGATTCACTTCGACTCGTCAGTGATAGCATTTCTTTTCTAAAACTCGCTTTTTACTAAAATTATCACATACTTTGCATGTTTTCACCTGAATTAATCGTGGAAACAAATATAAGGACCTAAGTCATGACGAGTATCGATTCAATCTTTACAACAGATATCCAAGGAAAGTAAATGTTTGATTTTTTCGATGAAGATGATGATGACTACAAATGATTTCAATTGATCAACTAACAGTTTCAAATTATGTCATGTCGAGAAAACAGTAAATTTATTCTCAAATTTCATTTGGCTGATAGTACGTTCGATCACAGAAGAAGCAAAATTTGAGGCATTTCTTCACGAAGCAAAGGCTCGGACAATGGTGGATTTCTGAATCTACCTGCAGTCGAGGAGTTCAGCATCCCTCCATCGATTGATTGAATGCGATTCTGAACAAAATTATGATTTCATCTAAATTAGCAGTTTTCAACATTTCCGAGCAAACCGCTCAGTTCACCCGACGTTACAGTCAAATCGCCCACGTCCCCTTCCCTATCAAACAATGTGTAGCGGGCGCTCTGGAAATGGTTTCAAATAGCAGTAATGATTATCTGATGCTGATTATGGAATTTTGAGAATAAATTTGCATCAAAGTGATGCACAAACCTGACCGTTGCATATTTTGTTTTACGTACAACTGCAACAAATGATTCGTATCCGTTAAGAAACTTCTCATAGCCAGAAAATATACCAAGCAAAATTCGCATCCAGCACTCAAGCTTTTCAGTGGGGAATATTTGGCGCTCTCACGAAACTCAGAATGGCTTACGAGGATCAAAGATCTCCCATGCGCACACGTTTTCGGCCACAATTCGGCAATATCTCCCAGGTGAAACAACTGACATAAGTGGTTTTGCTGCCAATTATATATTGAAACAATGGGAAAACTATTGATTTTGTGATTTGCTTACGCAGCTTTCTGAACTGCAAAAACATCTGGAGAACTAATAAGCTGCAGGTGTTGTAGGCCTATTCAGATGCGTTCGCTTATTCCCGCAAAAACAATGTGTTTACGATTGCTCGCTCACTGCTCATCTTCGTGAGCACGAGCCACTCAGCGCTCATGCTCAAATTTCGTTCACCTGTTCCTTAGTGCAGTGATTGAGGTATTCTTGAAGGAGTTGCTGCTCACGGCGCAAGCAGAATTTTTTCAGCTGCTCATGTTCACTGCCCACGAAGAAAGTATATTTTCTGTTGCTCAGTCATACCTTTTGCTCATATTTTTTTGTGTGGTCGTTAGTCCCTCATCACTGGTCACCATACATAAACTTCAAAAATTAAAGTTTCAGTGATCAGAAATTAAAGTTTCAGTGAATGGTATGAACAGTTCGTTAAGCACACTGAATCGTTTCGAAATAAAATGCAAAATCTTTGACTTGAATCTCTTTTGTTCAATCTGCTACGGCTTTTTAGCTGCTCCAGCTTTTTCAGCGATCGACTGCTCTCCTACAATTGAGGTATGCAAATTTTTGTGAAATTCAGATGTTATTTAGTACAAGAAAGGCTGCCGGATAATCCAGGTCTCGNTTATCTCAGAAATGCTTCGTATTACCTTATGTTCTATTGAGAAATTTTCTAACAGAAACAGCAAAGAACTAACGATGATTCATATCAATATCAATGATCACTGACAATGATTATATAGAATAAACCGATCATAATATATGAATACGCATTGAATACGAATGTGATAAGAAATCATTTAATTCCACTTCTAATGAGATATCTGAACAGCCTTTGTATCGTCGCAAAATTTTGGATCTCATTTATTCAGTATTCGTATATGCAGGAAGTTCAACATGCAAATCCATAAGACTTGATTAACTCGCCTAAATTTCATTGACTGTTGATGTTTCACTTGTTGTAACGATCGATCTGAATGGTGCATCATTTTAGTGGACGAAGAAAGGCTACTGCATTAAAAATCGAACTTTATGGAAGTACTTCAATGCAAAGTCATCCCCGTGCAAATGGCAGAACTACCTCGCATTTAGGGAAGAAGTGGAAACCTTTTTACACGCGAGCGTCAACTTCCTGATCGTAAGCTGCACCCGCATTGCCTACTTCTTTCCGCTCCGGATCTGCGTCCTAACAAAGGTGATCAGCCCAGTGATTCTTTATTCGGTTACGGCAGTTTTGGCGTGGCTATTAAAATATTAATCAACAGAGTCAATTCATCAAAGAAATCTGAGTGCAGAACCGGAGCCAAAGGAAGTATAAACATGGCATGCTGGCGAAATTTGAAACACAGCGGTAAAAGTAACATGAATGTATGTTCGTGACTGGCCTGGAGCTGAATTTTTCAGTCCCCGTTCTCGTGGAGACAGGGAGGTGTGTCTCCTTCTCTGCAGAGACGGAAAGGATTAACTCTTGCTCTCACGTTCCCCATGGTCTCCCTGCGCGAAGATGCTGAGGACGTATATCCATCCTCGGGATAGATTTCTGAAGGAAAGTAGATAAAAAACATTTCACCATTATAAGATACAGAAAAATGCGAAGCGACAACACAGAAACTGTTTTGCGTCGCTGAAAAATGAACTGATACGGGTTAGGCTCCGTGGGAAGGCGATGGTCAGGGGAACAGCGAAAACCATTTGTGCTCGTCCTTCCCCGTCCCTTTGCCAACTTCAGTGGAATGTATTATATGAATAATCTCAAAAAGAATGCGTCGCAAATTTTCGTAAAACGTTGCACTCGAGAGTTAAGTTTTTGCACTAACTAAATGGGTTGATTTTCCATTCACGTTGCCTTTACCATCGTCATTCAAATTTCTCGGCGCACTGCACGGCCAATTCACTTGTAGGCTGGTTCGCTCCGGAGCGTAAGCCTATGCTTATCACAGGAAGTTGATATGCGCGTGCAAAAAGTGCAACATTTTGTTCTTCAGTCGCTCACGAGCGATACGATGGTGAGTATGGAACGGATGGCCATCTAGTGTTATGACTCAGTAGCTCAGCCAGGATATTTTCCAAGAGGGGATAGAGGAGCTAGGAAAGGCGGAAGGATGGGGAAGTTGGGGGAAGGAGGGAGGGATGGGGCGCAAGCTGGTCCGTTCGTTCATCTGCTCTTCCTGTTAACTGTTTTTCCTCTCATTTCCTTGTCCAAATTTTATTTGGTTACCAGCACCAGTCTCACAATTTTGTAATAATCGAAACTTCAATTTTAAGTACAGATGTAAAATTTCTGAGACCGCTTAAACTTCGCAGCTGCTTTCGTTCTCGTTGTTTGATCAATTCAACTTTGGCCATTTCTTTTCTATATCGTGAAGATTCAACGTTTTCAAGTTTTCGAGAATCCTTTTGACATGCAAAATTAATGAAAGTTGCTGTTATTAAAATGACCAAAGAACCTGCAAATTATCTATCACTGTATGTTTCAAACTCAAAACCAGAGTGATTTTTAATCAAAGTAATTTTCAAACAGCAAACGAACGTTTTCTTTGGAAATCGTTCAGGAATTGTTCAATATGAGCATTATGATGAACGTTCTGTCGAGCAAATACCCATTAAAATTGATATCTCACGAGCAAAACTACTTGAACGGAATGAGAGAGTTGTAAATGAGTTTTCCTCTGCACAATGAAATTCGTAAAACGGATATTGAGGTTCATTTCAATGCTCTACTATTATTAATGCTGAATGTGATGTTTATATGCACCAGTAAAAATTTCTCAATAAATTTTCTCAAAATAAGTGGTATGCAACCAAAAAATAAAAATAAAGAAGCAAATCGAAATTCATTTAAAACTCATGAAAATGTCGATGAAACCACACATGCTAAGAACTAAAGACGGAACTGATTTCATGAGGAAACTGTAGACTTATGTGGCAAGATATGAAATTTGAATGGATCTTAATTCGTCCCTTAAGTTAAAATTTTTCTCTGAATCAGATGTTAATGTTAGAGATTTCAGCAACGGCCTCGTCGATGGAAGTTGTGTTGCTAGGTTTTAAGGAGTTTGACTTTGGAATTTCCAAAATATCATATTTGAAGATATTTGCATGATTCATTTGTCGGCGACTAATGGGCGGATTCGAATATTCAGAAAATTGTTTTGTTCGAATATTTTTGTGAACATTGTTTCACTTAAATGAGTGATTCGATGCGCTGTTGTTGCGATCATCGAGGAAGTTATACGCACTATATTAAAGCATTTGAAAGCAACAACCGGGGATGGCTAAACCTAGACAATATTTGTTGAAGCCTTTGATTTATTGGTGACGGCGCATTAGAGTCGAAGAACCTCTACGAAAATGATAGTTTAACTCTATCTGTTCACTCGGAGAATGAAAAAAACACCATGGGAACGGTGTTAATATTGTAAGGTATGAGACTAACAACAGCACTTTTGTAGATAGTGAAATTTCATTCAGAAGCATCTGTCTTCAGCGGTTTCCAACGAAAGTTCATCGATCGCTCTAAGGTTTTTAACGCATGCACGCATCATAGTAAAACAAAATAGACCCTCCATTCTTGATGCTGATACGGTACAATAGGCATATCTGAACCTCACACTGCTGCGAATTACGACTAGCAAACTTTATTGTCGTCGTCAAAAAGTGTATGTTTCTGGTCCTTGTCCACGGTTTCCTATGCGCTTTAACTTCATTTGCTCAGTCTATAATCGTATGCGCTGCAAAATATGTGTTGACGAAAGTAATTCACACACTCGCAGACCGTAAGAGAATAATCGGATGAAAAGAAGGAGGCAGTAACCTCATAACATCAGTTTATATGTATATTTCTCGAATTAAACCTGGGTTTATGTGAATTCAGTCGTTCGTTCATGGCTGAATAAGCATTCGAGCAGCTAATGGCAGAATTATACTTAGTGGCACCGAAGCGATTCAATGAATAATGCACTAACCATTTCCGTCGCACTGCGGTTGGCACATGCTGATGGATGAGGTCGAGCTCCCAACTGAGGAAATTTTCGATCGATTTGGTAGTGACCCTAGACAGGTGAAAATGTTTTGGTTGTAAAAAATCGTTTTTTTCATCATTCCCTTTGTATCGGTACATTATTTATGTGCTTTTTTAGCAGAAATTCGAAAAAAGATTTTAAGATAACACAAGTGTCTGTGTTATTCAGTTTGTAATGAATACACTGCTCCGTGTTGGCAAATTACTGACTCTTATTCCATGAACAGAGAAAAATTCAAAATTGTCGAAAATACAAAAAAAAANAAAAAAAAACAATCCATAAAACGTTTGTAAATAGACAATCAGTGATTTGAATGAAACAAGCACAATTTAAGCGTCGCACACAACAATTCGTGGTGAGTGATGGCGAAATGTTGTATAATGACGGAAATGAGCGCGAATCGCATGCGGATTACTTTCCGAAATACTCCTCGATAACAAGGTTCGACCACTTTCCACGATAACGGCTTTACGATTCGCTTGAAGTTGTAAATAAAAATTTCATCACTTGACTGTTATTCAAAACCGTTGTCGTTCACTTGCCATATTCAACCATATTCATATATTGGACGCTTGATCAAAAATGATGTAAATTGACTCGCCTTATTCTTAAACAACATCGTCTTTATACCAAGTAATTTCACCTGAGAATTTGTTTCCAAATTGATCAAATAGCCTCTGCGATCTCAGACTGCTCTGTATTCGCCTCGTTATCCTGCGCTTTCAAACGTTTGCACTCATTCATCGAATAATAACTAAATTTCCTATTTGCTCCATAAAATAATCGCAAAAATAATTGCGATAAAGGGTGAGAACAATTCAGTTCTTTTGAAAATCGCTTTTCTCTATAACTTGTACTGACAAGTTGTTATGGTTGCCATTCAAGCCGTTGATAATTCTATATTAGGGTTTTGCATAGTTGAACTGACATTCTTTTGAATGTTAACTGCAATCTCATTGTTAAAGTGGTGCTTCCTCTTCGTTCGTGCATAGACCAATTGAACAATGATTCAAGAAATGTCTGATTCCATGCAAATACTCCTTAATAATAATGAACCGTTTATGTGTTCTTCAGGGTGTCATTCCTAAATCGCGTTCACATTCATATGACGCACTCTATGAAAACTTCAGATTTGGACCGTTATATCACGAACATTGTCAAATGGAAACTGCCATATTGACTTTCAATTGCTACCTATCCGAACCTGAATTAGATGTTTATTGTGAAGAACAAATTTGTCGCGTTCGTCCAATGAAACTACTTTATTATTTAGTCGATGACACAATATCACTCGTTGAACCACCCGTTGATAACAGCGGAATTATGCAGGTTGGGATCGCTACATGTTATCTTTTTCGTCATTAATTTCATCAATCTCACTTTAACCGTTATCGATGGATAATCTTGGGATTATACTGATGAATTCATTAGATTTTTGCGCTTTTTTCGATGAATCGCTGCTAAGAGGATGAGGATATTTTGTTGATTAGTTACCACTGGGCAATAGTTTAAGGGGCGAATGTTCAATCGTAAGAAAGTACCGAGAACTGATCATCGTATTGGACAAAACTTCATTCATTGGTCTGACTTGAACTTAGCACAAGATATTGTAATGTTCGCAAGAACATATCGTATCACATCATGTGATCAATTTACTAAGGTAATTTCCTTCACAGCATTCGTTCATTGCTCTTCTGTTTTATTTCTGTTCCGTAAGCATATATTGTGCTCATGAATCATCAATCTGGTCATCACATCAATGAAAACAAAGTTTATCACTGAATCAATAAGAAGTGCTGTTAAAGTTTCCATCATGAAAGCAATTATAGTGGTAAAAGGTGATATACAATGAATCAGTAATAAAATCCGACTGAAGAAAAAGTATGTTAAGCATTTCTTGGAAAGGAATGGGATCAAGGTTCGGAATGCTGAAGAAATGCCGATTGATCCTTGGACAAAACGGCGGTCGGCCAAGAAAACTGAAAAGAACACATCCTCTATTCAAGTTCGTCTGTAGTTTCTCAGCATTTATTTGCTGATTCTAAACGAAATGAGTCAAAACATATTTTGAAATTATCCCATTGCGGACAGATGATGGGTTCATAAACAAACGATAGCTAATTTGTTGAAGTCGTGGCTGAATTTGGTCTGCTGACCATCTTCATCTGTCATTTTTAGTACAAATAATTTCGAGTGGTCTACAAAGTGAAAAAATTTCTATTGCGTGTGTTCATAAATGATTTCCATTCAAGAGCAATAAATTCCTGAACTGTCCTCCTAAGCTGCATTTGCTGACATGTTGGTTGGATCGTTCGAATGATTTTCATATAACTCGACAACTGAGAACGTTCCGTATGACTGTGTTCACAGTTGACCATACCGTCTCAATTGTCGAGACAACCGCTGGACTTGAAGGACAAGTTTTTCTGAAACGTGTCAATCTTCCTTGCAAAGCGAACAGTTCGTTCTCTTATCCGTCAACCCTATCAACTATGACTGTGTCCCTTGAAAATCGTTGAAAATACGACTGAACAGTGTCGATTATTGTTGCCCAGGAAAATGTTCGGAGCTCAAGCTCAGTTCTGAGCTTAAGACCAAAGCTAAGCATTAGCTTAACCCCAGGTGTTAACCTAAGCTCAGCTTGATCCATTTCGAACTATTTCGTTAGCCCATTTGATTCATTTGAGTTTACGTTAACTTCAGTTGTTAAACGCGGCTAAAGGCTTGAATAATTTGACCTAAGAACTTCACTTTTTCAGTAACAGAAATTACTGAACATAATTTGGGGTGTTTATTCGCGCAGTTAGCTGGAAAATTTATTTCAAGGGAGTCGTCATTTCTATCGAAGTTGGGAATTATATCCAGGAATTTGGGTAGACGTCTTCACGAGGCCAATGTTCATCTACGGCTGTGAGGGTAATGAAACAAGATTGTTTCTGCAGCAGCAACACGGACAAATTGATTATTCTGATTATGAACATGTTCGTTGCGTTGCACTCCTTTATTTTTCAAGTGAAGTTTCTGCTAGCAAATGGAGATTCGAATACATCCGAAATCAGTATTTGAAACACTAAAATCACGCTGTGACCTCAAGAATTAATCTCAGATTCTCGTTGAGTCTGAAAAATTTGCACATCTTTCCATACAGTCTCATTCAAAGGATCCTAAAGATTGTGTGTTGNTGCCTGCACTCTCATCTTACAACTGTGCTTTAGTTATTAAACGAGGGACCGCCAATTGAACCTGTTGTCGAAATTCCAGCAACTTTAAAATTCATAGCACAAATGGTTAGTTCTTTGCTTCCATTTTAAAATCATTCATTTCAACGCTTCTGATTCTGCCGTGAGATTTTCGCTTGGCTTTTTGAACAACAATTTTCAACGACGTGTTGAGGTATTGAGCGATCTATCATGTTGCACGAATGTAGGAAAACGAGAATGGAGAACATCATTGTTTATGTATTTTTCCCATTCTTTTTTATGTGTTTTTTCTCATTCTTTCTATGTGTTTTCCGTTTCTTGTTCCCTGTTCCATTCATCTTAAGTGCGCCTCACTTTTCGATCATATAAGTTTTTAATTCTTCAATGCAAAAAAACAATTGAAACATCAAAAGAATTTTTCTTCAGATGAATGGACCATTTGCTGGAAGGCATTTTGTGTTGACATATCACGTGAACAGTCGTGAAGTGGACATATCAGAATCCGGAAATCATCGTAAATGGTCAGAGGGTCGTGCTTTTCTCGAAGGAATACATTCGAATAACTACAGGTTTATACTTTCCTCTTTTATCGCGCATTATATCTTCGGTAATTAGGACACTGATCTGTCCATCATTATCAGATCGATCATCTCGTTAAAAAAATTCGACTGAGCAATTGCGATCGCCACAATTCTATCAGAAATTATCACTCTTGATTGAAACAAAATAGAACAGATTAGAATTTTGCTGCGCACTACGGTTTCAATAAAATTCTTTGAACGACTAGTCGCAATGCATTGTTTTTTTTAGTATTGATGATTTTGTGATTGGAAAGACAGTAACGTTTTATCGATGGTCATTTAAACTGATTGAAGCTGATCCGAATACATCCGAATTTTTGCGTTCAAAAGAAGATAATCTGAATGGTTATGAAATAACGTAATTATATCACATTCTGTAATATACGATAAATTGAGAACATTGTTTAATGAAAAATTCATAGTGGAGTCCCATTAACAAAGATGTAAAGTATCCGTCTTTCGGCCCATTCGCGAGATGTTTATTTGCTCATGGAAATAAAGATCGTTCATCAGTTGATCTGCAACAATGATGTTTGCATATCCATGAATCATACCGCATGACGTCAATGTTGTTTATAAATGTTAAAGAATTTGCTGAGTCACTGAGGTTTTGGATTGCATAAGTAGAATGATCCGAAACACTTACTCAAAATACGTATTCTTTTCAACAGAAATGAGGTTTCATTTTTCAGTGAATCATTGAGAACAGATTCAGTTGAAGTTATTCGGATCTCACGTTTTTACTGCTAACTAGCAACAGTCATATCTCAACTTTGAAATGCTGCAGATTAAGTCCGCAACTTCGTATCCAGTGAAGTAAACAAATGAACTGACTTACGTGTTAGCAGCATGTGTCAAATTTGAGAAGCCGACCATTGAAGTGGTCGGCCAATTGTGTCGGTTCGCAAAACAGAATAAACTCCTTTGATAAGCAACGAATAAGCCGCCGCAACAGACTATTAATAGAAAAACAAGCACGAAATATAATAACGAATGACGATGCAAATGAATGGTTCCATCTTCTGTTGGATTATATTCTGAAAGGAAAAACAATCATTCCTTCATCAGATGATCACGGCTTTGTGGGAATTACTGCCGTCAAATATGAATCACGTCAAAAAGTCAAAAACTGTTTAAATAATTGAATTTCGTGCGACAATTATAATGAATCTGTCAAGTCGATTTGCATGTGGGAATTAGTTGAGAATATTTCTAGTATAATTCTTTGCATATGGAACAACTATTCTAAGAACTGAAGTCATTGTTCAAAAAACGCGATGGTTGGAGAGTTCACCTGTTGTATAATAGAGAACAAATCCTTTGTTTGTGATGCTAACATCTGATTCAAAATAAACGGTCATCTCGTTAACGGTACCTTTTATGAGGTAGTTGAACGTTTGAATACCAGTTGCACTAAAATCATTACACAATTATCAATAGCTGCATTTCTGATAATGTTTTCGTGAGGATAAGATTATTCCTTTGGTAAGGATCAGGAATAATCGAAGCAAGCCTTGGATGGGATCTGTTCCTGTTGTTCTTATTAACTCAACGAGGAAGGAAATGTTGTTATAGGTGCATAAGACATCGCTTTTATAGAGTCTGTTGCTGCTCCTTCTATTTCAATTCACAAATCATTTGTAACTCTGGATAATTGTTTTTGCGTAAGAAATTCATAAGTTTCCCAAAGGAAATTTACAGTTCTAGACGTTTGTCGGTAATATTGCGGCCGTCATAAATTCCCAAAATATCCTCATTCGGCTCAAGAGACACCAAAGTGATGTTGATAATAACGATTTGATCTTGTGGTGCGGTGATCAAATATTGGCACTTCATGGAATTACAGTAAAATTCTGGATAATCGGGTGATGTCAACTGTTTCCACTCGTTATTTACCGCTTCCAGATTTAGTTCACCACAGGCACAGACTGAAGAATATTGACTTGAACTGAATCAGAGCGTTGCAATGAGAATATGGATTATAATGACAACAAAGCATTTTTAGTTGAAATGAATTCGGCAGAATTAAATTTTGCATTGCTGATTGTGAGCATGCTTGGTTGATGAATGAGGCTCGAGAGTGAAGCAGCAAAAATGCAGGAGGTAAAGTGGAAACTTTGATAGAGTTTACACAATTTCAACTGATCAAGCGTAACACAAAAGTCCCTTAAGTGCCTACGGGGACGCTTGACACCAATGCACTTTGGGATTCCAGGAGAGCATTGATCCGTGTGAATCTCTCTGCGTTCCTTACTATTATTCATTCTCGTTCCCAGTCCATAGTACGTGTAGCGCACACCTCACACAATGCATCAAGAATGCAATTTTTTAAGACTCGAAATGTGTTTTTTGACGATATCGATTTCAATGAAGCGAACATAACTTACTTGGTCTCCATTCATAATTGAACTTCAGATTTGCTGCTCGATCAGCAGTTTGTGAGGCTAAATGATACCAAAGTCGAACTGGTTCGAGACTTGAAATTTCATTCACACCTTCCTTACTAACACCTGCCTCGTAGCTAAACTTATTATTTCTATTGTCAATTTAATCATTCATATCACATTCACTACCACATAAAACGACAAGAATTTGATTTAAACCATCGGATAGACTTGAATAGGATTTTCAAAGGTATCAAAATTTTCGACGATCACTGAAGTTCACCTCTTCAGATCATAATGAATAGGGTTTATGTTATTCATCCGGAATCAAAGAAGTGGTACTGGAATGCTCTCAGAAATAGAACAAATTAAACATTTTTAATGAATAGTCTTTTATCGAAAACGCACACAACAACATCCCGATCGCTGGTATGTGATGGAATAATGTTGTTACCAAGTCCTTTCAGCAGTTCCAAAAATTCTTCCTGTGCACCTTTGAATTCGTACGAAACGTTCACCAACAGTCGCAGTCGATCGTTTACGGTCGCCTTCAAGTAATTACTAGCTCGGTATTTCACTGCTCGGTATTTCGTTGAATTTTTTTTTCATTACCCTCAGTGATTTGCTGAAGTCAATTCAAGATTTTTTCATCAACAGAAACTTCATTTGGTGATTAATTTTTCGAAGCAATAAATTATGTTACGCTAATACCGACAGTATTTTTTCACGAAACTCGATGCCGATAAGATATTGAATGGTAAATTTCCAAATGAAATTGAACTAAACACAAAAGGGAAACAGAATGAATGAAGCAATCAAATACAACGCACCGACAGCGGACGGCTGATATGAAAGAAACAATCGAGAAACTGGCACGAGCTCGGCACATTTAATGAGAATTCACCGTTCCTTGTGGTATATTCTACTGGCTGCGCTTCACCTTTGCATTTGCAATCTTAATCGACTAATTCAGTGTTTCAAATGGAAAATTCTCAGAAATATCAGCCATTCTAAGCAAACTCGAGCCTTTTCAACAAATATTCATCGAAAATGTAAAATTGTTCATCTGTGGATCAAGATCGAATATTTCATGCATTTATGGAACTTTTAATCCTTTCAGGAGCACCAATTTGACCACGTCTACTAAAGTGTTGTTGCTAATTCTGTTCTTAGTAGTACTGTATTGAAAGAAGTGCTCTAGAATTAGGAGCATAGCAATGAGTGGCTTATATTTTAGAATCTCCTCAAAAATGAATCGGCAGAACTATGTAACTGCGATCATCTTGGTGCCAAATGAGCACAGGCTGGAGGTGGTCTCACGAGAATTTAACGAGATAAGATGAGACAACAACGAGATCAGATTGTACTGAATTTCTCCTCAGTTTAAGCGAGACGAGAAATAAACAAATGCGACTATAGGGTGATGAGAGAGACGAGGAGCGATTACACTGATTTTAAACGAGAAATAATCAGATTTCCCGAACTATTTCGAACTATCTCTCATAATAACTATAGTGATGTTTGCAATTCGTCCTTAAGCAGACCACGTGTAAGGTTTTCCATTTCGCTGTTCATCTGGAAGTTAACTTCCCTATCGAAACCTTCATTTCAATTCTTTCTCTGAGTTGCGATAAAACCGTATATCATTATTATTGTTTACATAATGTATACTCCATGTTTCTCGTATCTGATCAGTGTTTTTTCTCAATCGACTGCAGTATTCTTCTTTGTTAACCCTTCAAGAAACGCAGTGCAAAGTTGTCGATTTTACTGCTGATCTGTGAGTAAATTTTTCTATCCAATTTTTCTTGCCATATCTTCCCTTTCGCAAACAATACAAACGGTCTTCTGAGATCATACTGGTCCTTGTGGACTTAACCTTGAATTTCTGTTATTCAATGAAAATGCAGAAAACACTTTCAGTGAAGGGTATTGCGGTGTATTCTAGCTGTAGCTGGCTTTTTACATCGCTTCCCATTGATTTCTTGGCAAGAAAGACAAAATATGAAACGTTCGCGCGTTTTCGAAACTAGATTAGATGAGAAATAATTAAGGTAAAAACAAGCGAGCGAAATGAGATGAGTTGACAAACGCTCACGCTTTGATATTGCTCGCCTATGCTTAGTGCTAGACTGAAGTTATGGTATAATTATGACCGATTGGTGTTTCCGCAATACGAAAAGTAAAGTGTGTATGTCAATGGCTTTACAAAATGCAAGTCACCGTTATTCCGTTGGATTGCAATTAATGAAATGTTGAAACCACGATTCACAACGGTTGCGTCAGTGATCAGTCGTAATTCAGCCACTTCATTATCGAATGTAAAATAATTCGTTCGTGACAACGCACTGTTGCCCGTTCGACTGCAAGAAAATCAGTCATAAGCTGAACTGTAACACGTTAAGAGATATGCGACATGAAAGAAGGAAAGTTGATCGAAGAAAGTGAGTAATGAAGTGAGAAAAACCTCATAAGGTAACGACTCGAATGTTGTAATCGATCAAAGAAGTGCAAAAAATCAGCGCCATGTTCCAACTGAAGTGAGTTGATTTCTACACGCACTCTCTTGTGAGTTCCTTCCATTTGTGGTCCGTAATCCATTTTTATTTCAACCGGACAATTCAAATTATCGCAATATTCAGATGGATAACCAGGTGAAAACAACGAACTTTCAGTTTCGGAATTCACAGACATTGTGTTTGGGAAACATTTACAAGCTGAAATTGTTTTTAAAGAACAACTGAAGTGATTCCATAAAGTGATGAATGATTGAAGAGNGAGCAAACAGTTCTGAAGCTCATTAAATGGATGCTATCGATAAGAACAACTCCTTACGTTCGAATATGCCGGATAATGAAAACAGCGATCAGTTAGAAATTGAATTTTTGAATTCTGATTCGTTCTGTTCGTACGAATTATCGTCAAAATCAAATTCGCCATCAACGTTTTTCACACTTGGTCAAGAATATTGATGAACAAACGCAGGCTAATTGACGGCATTCCGATGGAAGCTTTGCTGAATTAATTGAACCCTTACGACTTTCCGTTCGATAGAAAACGGCATCGAAGAGATTTCCTTTACCAACTTTGATACCAGATTGTTTTGGCAGTAATGTCACCATCACCATTAGCGATTTGGTTCTTGATACGACTTCGTGCGGTAATGATGTGAATACGCTGAGACTGTAGCAAAAATAAAGGTTATTGTTTTGTTGTGACGCCACTTGTCAACGAAGAAATTTATCAATTTGCCATTCGATGCTATCGAAAACGATCGAAATATTTTTTCTCCTTCCTCATTACGTGATCGTTTCAACACTGATTTCTGTTCATTCAAAACATTAGCAGAACTAGAAAGTTCTCATTCAATTTGAGAATGATCTCAAAATGACCATAAAATGTTCATTTGCTCATCAGGCACATTCGGATAAATGATCGAAAATTATTCTGAGATCAACAGCGCATGTATATTCTTGTAGAATTTGATAAAGAAACGAAAATTTTGAGTGAAAATTTGGTGGTCAAAGGGATCTTAGAGATTGTTGATGTTAGAAAATAATGAATGAAAATAGGAATGGAACAATTAGTTGACTCGGCGAGCGATTGTGATACACGTTCGGTGTTGTAGTTTTCGGTTTCGTGAACACTGATTTTAACGTGTCGTGCGATTGTATCGAAACGCAATTTGATAGCGTTATCATCGGTCGTATTGATCATATATGAACATCCAGCCGTATATTCGAATCTTGACGTTGGAGATGGTAGGTGTTGTTCGGCGGTCACTGCTTCGTGATACATTTGAGGACACGATTTACCTNGCGTTCTTCACATGCAAATTGGTTTACTGCCCGACCGCTTCGCCATTTTGCTATTTTTGGAAGCAGTCAATTCGATACCATATTATACGTGTAAGAAACGTATTGAAAACCTGGCATTGATGCATCAACCCTTGAGAAGCGAGCATGAAAACCACCGAATTGCTCTGAGCTATCGGTTACAAAACGAAGCTTGAAGCCACTTCCCTCAGCTGAAGCATATAACGGCCAACCAACATCTTTACCTGTCAAACTGAAGTGATTTTTTGACTGAGAATTTATTATTTCAAAGTGATGCGTATTACCGAAAAATTGTAACATGCATCACATGATATCTTTCCATCCATTCCGGTTGAGAACGTAACACCCATACATTAATTCATAACTCAATGGCCGTTTTGGTGGGCATCATTTTCTAAACGACACGATTTTCGGTGAATTACTGCTGTTTTACCCTGCCAGTAGAAATTTCTTAAATCACTCAGTTTACCAATGTAACTTTTGATGAGCAAATTGAGTTTTGACTGGACCGTTTTTCTCTTGGATTTTTTNTTTTTTGAAATCATATGCATCGTATATTATTCTCAGCAATCATTTTACAAACGTTCTAGCAATAAGCAGTTCGCAGTTCTTTCAATTATGAATCGTTCAATAGAAATATTCCTTCCTTTACAGTGACCGACATAAAATCATGATCTGATAGTCGTAAGAAACTATTAAAGCAATTTCTAAATTACAAATTGCAATTGTATTGTTTACGTTGCAATTTTAGTGGAGTACTGCATTGACGAAATAGTATATGTTTGATGAATTTCGAGGTAGTCATGCCGAAGTTCGGTTTCAAATGAAACAATCGACAAATGTATCGCTTTTCCAGGTACTCCATCGATCTGTAAATGCAATCATATTCGGAAGAGCATCACGAATATGGTCTGTCTTCATATCATTCTGAACGGGGACCCGCGGATCCATCATTAAAGTGTGGATAATGGCTAGAAATGATTTCTCCGAGGTTTGAGGTCATCAAAACATGACAGGAAAACTAATTCCATAATGGCAAGCGAATGAAAGAATGAATAAAGACCACTGAACAAGAAATTTGACGTAGATATAATGTAAGTCAATGTTAGACCTCGTATTTGCAGTCGAGGTTAACACAGTACTGAACCGGGTATCCAGGACTCTTCAGTTCTCCTCCACGTACATCCGTACCGAAATTTGCGCTCCGGCACTCACATGTGTCTGAAATTTTTACGGAAAACGAATTTTTGGGTTTTTCATGGGTTTCAGCACTTCATTCGTTCAATTCAAACGAACAACGCGTAAACTTTGCAGTTTATTTTCACTGATCACTATCATTCTTGCGTCNTCTATTATGCGACTTACAAACTCACATTGAAAGCAATCTGAACGTGTTAGTTTACTGTTACATTACTTCAGCTCGTACGTATGGATCTCTTTTCACACTAAGTTTTCGTTGATCGGAAATTATTCTGCGTTAGGTGTCGATGAAATTTCCTTCGGTTGCCCTCTCATAAAATGAGAGCGACTAACCGGTGAAGTTGAAGGGCTTCGCAGGAAATAAAGCTAAATGAATTAAGAAATGAAGCTTACCGCTTACGGTTGGATTGATGAGATAAGTTAGAAGCAAGAGCAACTGAGGGAACATTTCTGAGGGAATAACTGTTGAATAACAACGAATTGTTTATTTTGTGGGCAAATAGGTGTTTGAACGTAATGAAATGAATCAGTGATAGAAATGATACGGATGAGTGTATTGTACGCAGCAGATCAATTTACAAATATACAAATTTAATTGGAAGCATTCAGTGACGAATGAGTTGATATTATGTTTATGTTTATATCTATAATCGATACGTATCATGGATTCGTCAATAAGAATCACCGACCATTTGTTTCAATTTCATTGAATACTTCGTATTTATCGCTCTCCTTTTAGAAGCCGTTTGAAGGGTGTGTCCGTATGATAAAATTCAGTTTTTTGTTCTCTTATCAACGTGCACATTTTTCAAACTCAGTCTTATTGTTGGAGATAAGCTAAGTCTTTCTGANTCCATGAATACGATGTGAAGCCATTAAAAAATATGTGAGCAAAAGTTAGACATTTCTCACGAAGCTAAAACAGCGTTTAGTGATTCGTCAAATTGTCTGACGTAACCGAAGAAATGACGTAACCGAAAAAAAAATATTTCCTCAACACACACGAAATCAGCGGGAACGCTGAGTTATTGTCGAAAGTTGAATGCAAGTTTTTCTATACCCTATTCGAAATTATCACCTGACTGTCTATTTTGCGATGCTTTTGAGAATTGTGAGTCAATTTATTTTTAGAAACATTGATTTCTACGAACCATATTTTGTAGTGCTGAAAGTGTAAATCGTATGATGCAATCAGTAGCCGACAAATGATATGATGATATGATCAATGATATGATCAACCACAAAATAATCGATATTCATCGATAACCTCCTAGATGCACGGGAATATGTTTACTTTTTTATATCGACAAATAAAACTTGTCAGTTTATAGGGCTGTCGGTGATAGCATGAGATTCCTTTCATTCTTCGCATTCTGTGATAATATATCGAAATGGATTGGAACGTTGCAACAGTAAAACGATCAATAATTCTTTCAGCAATGACTATCTAGGATACTTTGACTTTAATTTTCAGGACTTAGCTCATAGATTTGTACTTACAGGCATTTTCCATTTCAGAAGTGCTTATATTTGTAAAATGATACTCTTCACGCTCCTTTAAAAATGGAAACGCTGCATTGAAGTTTTCATGTGAATCCTCTCGTACTGTGTACTTTACCAGTGCATTTTAAGTTCATACGTTAGTTTTATCTTCGCCTGATATTTATTCGTTTGTTACTTTCGATTAAACATTGCTCGTCTCTTTTGCTAGATTGACACTCATGATTTTACTGCTCGCGCTCACTTGATTCAGTGTGTTTGTCATAGGCGGGAAAGTCTCTTCTCGTAGGAGAGAAGTTACGGATGTCAGGAGATGAATTGAGGATGTTGCCATGCTAACATTGAATGCCTTTTTTCCATTCACTTTCCATTACTGTTCAATAATATTTTCAAAACGCTTCTTTGATTAATAAGAGTGATTCCTTTGCTAGCACCAATGAATTTTTAACAGCTAACTTCTTAATCATGATCTCCCTCTTCTCATACCAAACGTAGTAGACAGGTGCATAGTGTCGCTTGCAAGAAATAGGTAGTTGCAACAAGATAGGAATGGCGGTTTTCCATACGGCTGTATGGAGCTCGAAGTGCGAGAGCGTAAAAATCATGTTTATAATGGCGATATCACTAGCTTGAACATGATCGCATGCTGAAGTGCAACGTTTTCACAAGTAATTAATTATATTTACGACAAAAAATAATTCATAAAAACAATTTGAACAACAATTTTATCATTACAAACTACTTAAAATAAAGCCATGCCGAACAGTGAGTGATGTTATTTTATTTGTTACTATATCTATCGACAAAACTGATTACCAGTGCAACTGAATATTCAAAGCAGCATATCTGTAGCCTTAATGAATGTTCAGTAGCAATAGACAATCATGCGTAACATGATGTGACAATAACAACAACATCAACAACCGGGTAACTATCGTCACGGCTCTGTTTCATGGTAGTCAACATTGTATGGCAATCAATGTTATCGTGTCCGGATGGATGCACGATAAAATGAAATAAAGCTAGAATTGGAATGAAAACATTTGCGAGAAGTAATAAACATATCTTCAATATGTAGAAAAACATCCGAATGAATCATAAACAATATCATGAAGAGACCATACGGTGAATACAACAATACAGTGTATATAAACATCAACATCCTCTAGTATCACATTATCATTGCACTCAAACGGCTGATGATAACAACAACTAATATGTAATTCTATAGCGTTGTCTATCAAACATCACCGCTGAAAATGGAACTTTAGATACACATTCATATTCATCTGAGATCATGAAAGCAATCTTTGACATTATTTCGTGTTGTAAACAGCTCCATTCTTCAAGTTATATTGAGTTCGAGTTTATGACCTCAAAATAAGCAACAACAGGAAGGTCTACTCGCAGAATGAACCAATCGAGGATGACATACGGAATGATCCATTCTCCACTTTTTTTCCTCCCCGGTCCCGCAGGGTGAGTAAGAAATGCGTTGCATCCTTATATTCCTGTCACTGCACCAATCGTGGAACTCACCGATTGGAAAGGAATGATAATTTCAATGATAATAGTGGATGTTCAGCAGTAAAAAACATAATTTTATACAAATAACTGATTGATAATATAGGGCACACAATGGCACTCCAACTCAACAATAATCGCGTTTGCTTACAACTTATCATTATCATTCAGAACAAAACCAGCACCGAATCTGAAGCACTCTTATGACAAGGCACATATGGAGAAGCAATTTCACGCTGAACACATCATAATACAATTCGTCACCTTTTCACTGCAATTCACCAACTTCAAGCACAAACATGTAATGCTTAAAGAAGTAGAACAATAAATTAGCGCTCGAATGCATGAAACTAGAATCATTCACGGACAATTCACCAATGAGTCGAGGTTAGAAGTTAAATATAACAAAGGAAAGCGAAATAAACACAAATTAGTGGGTGAGTAATGCGGTAAGCCGATGTGAATAGTTATTTTTTGGTTAGTATCAGATGAAATTTAGGTATTCGTAAAGTGAGAGCATGAAGGATGCTTTTGAAACAACGGGTAGAATTCATGTCTGCGATAAAATTTCAAAGTTTACGAGTCGGCGTACGGCAGATCCTCAACCATCAATTTGACCGGTTTGATTTTCTGAAATTGTGACATAATACATCACTTTGAAATAATTGCACGTGATTGTTGAATTGTTTCTATTTCTACGGAGATGCGGTCTAATTGTTGGATTATTCATATATTCGTAGGTGTTGATGGGATGGATGGATGCGAAAAAGCGATCAACTTTCGAATGGTTTTCGAAGGAAAGTTCAGGCATTCAGTGATAATTCAATCATAAAAACCTCAACGAATCAGTTCAAATTCCTTATCCAAGTGCATCTGATTTAACGAAATAATGAGCGTTCTTGCAATGAGAATCACCTGTATATGCTCTGCTGCGAATTCTCTGAGATTTGCACTTTAGGGATGATCTCTGAGGCTAAGAGCTGTTACGCTTGTCACTGACAATATTTACATTTTCGCTATCTCATTGTAACAGTTCAACATTCATTTATAAATGATCAACGATGAAGTGCTAATAGTTGCTAACGCATTATTTACAAAACGGCAGCATGCAAAACGCGCCCGATTCACCTTCAAGGTTTCAACGAAATCCTAATAAAACTGGCTCACACCCGTCGTTAGGCTTAAGTCCAGGCATAAGTTTAAGTTTGGACAGATCAAGATGAAACTCTGGCCGATGGAATCGGTGCATATTACAGGGTGACTCATGAATTCATTTACTCATTTAATCATTTAAGTAGGATTTAAGTAGAAAGATCATAAACAGAATAAAAACTCAACTATCACGGTTAAAAAATTATATCGTATTCACATGAACGTGACCAGTGGAACCTTAAATGAAAATTATTCCTGTCTGAAAATGGGGATCAATCAGTTTCTAAAGAGACTGAAACAGCGTAATTTGATAGCGAACAATTGGGCAAGCACGCGCCCATTCGGATCAATGAGAAGTACTAAAAATTTCTTTGAGAGCGATAAAATTCTACAGCTTAAACACTGCGTANAGAAGAAAGATAAGAGAAAGCAGAAAAAAGCAAGATAAAATCTGCAGCATGATTACTCAAAAACATGAGGATTTCAGTCATTCGATTAATTGATCGTGGCACCTTAACAAAGCTGATTTGATATAATACAGTAGTGCTATAGCAGAATTAACTCATTTTTTGTACAAATTAAAGCTCAACACCATTTAGTATCATTCACACAATTCCAATTAATCAAAACGCAGTAATAATAGAAATGCTAATAAAGAGTAAAAGATTCACACTTTGAGTGTATGCCCATTTGGCAAATTAGGCAATATTCTTGGATTATTCAATCGAGGACTTCCTTCAACCGATCGTTCACCATCAGATGACATTGGATTGACGGCCAGCTGCACTTTATCCATATCAATCGCTGTTGTTGACTGCAGTTTTGCATGTGCTTCATGCCATGGATCAGCAAATCCTTGATATGTTCCATAATGACTCGCCTGATGACGAGTTAATGAACGATCATCCAAATCCTTCAATTGCTCATTGTTCCTTTCCGATCAACTATTGTTGACCTATGTTTTCATTATTCATTTAATTTCATCAGCACACTTAGTTGCATTTTGCTGCGAAAGTATTGATTGTGATGTACTCAGAGTCGTCACTTACACAGCCGAAGAAATAAATCTAACAACAACAAAGCGATTAATCAATCAACAGAATCAAACGTTTCATCTGAAATTATGAATTTATAAACTGAATCGTATGAGAAATAAGTCGAATGAACTCTTGAAAGAAATTAAATAAAATAATGATTAATGTATGTACGAGATGTTCGAAAACCTCATTTCGACGCCCAATTTCGCGTTTCCTCCTCGCCGCACTGTTACGTCCTTGCGCAAATTTTAGGATGAGAAAAAGAAACACTCCAATCACCGACAAGCACACTAGTCCTACGGTCATATTGCGTAAATCCATTATGTAATTTGTCATACGATGCATGTCATCAGCAACCTGAATCACAACAACCCTCTTATTCTTGCTGATAACGTTCTCTTTTAAAAAAATGACACTTGAAAAACATTCCCGAAGAACCTACGTAATTAACGATTCATTCAATGCTGATAGGAATGAAATATTCTATGTATGATAAGACTTCCATCACGAAAGACAATCGAATGCGATATGTTTAATGATTACCAGACAGTGGCCACTTCATAGTATATCCCAAAACTGTTGCAAAAGTTTCCAGTCGTAAGGTCACTATTCTCCATAATGCCAATAAGACGACAACATTTCGCAGATAAAAATGTGCTCTTATGCTCAAACATCTTCACAGAATAATACAATCAAAATCCCACTCACTTATGATGCGCATATGACTTGATCGAAGATTATCTCAGGATTCATCGTAAGATGAAAATATTTTGCCTCCTTGGAGATTCTATGTTATATTTTCATCTTATAATAATTTGCAAAATAAGTAATTCATCAGTGAACATCTCATTTATGACCCTTGTCCCATTACTTGGCCGTAACAGTGGTAACCATCCCTGTACATTTTTACATATTATCAGGCAAAACAGCTTCTTTTCAAACTGAATTACTTCATCATGAAATCTATCACTGTTAAATGTCACCATTTCTTGCACAGAGTTGGAATTTCACGAAAATTACAAAATATCTTGCCATTGGAAACAAGATTTCAATTCAAAATCATCGTTCAATTACATATTGGAACTAGGAATTTATAGTCTGTTACAAATCACTGTTAAATGTCACCATTTCTTGCACAGAGTTGACACGAGTTGTTTCAATGTTGTATGTTAATTTATTTTATTCTCCACAATTGTATTGAATCTGTTTTTTGATCCATCGTTGAAGTTAACGTAAATTTTAACCATTCCCTAATTAGCTTGTGAAATACACTTTAACACAATCTGTTAATTGCTTTAGTATCATCATTATGCATTGGCAAATTTAATAAATTATTCAGAAAATGTGTTTAATGGAATGTTAGGGCAAAAATGCACAAATATTTTTCTGTGATCGTTCATTATATTAGCTCATTAACAAAGTCCAATATCGCAGAAAATGGAGAGTTCATTAGGCGTGTTTTAATCGAAATGTACATTCCATTGTTAACACTTATATGGATGCATATGAGTACATTGTGGTATCAACCTCTATAAATCTGTTTCATTCTATCATGAAAATATCAAAAAAATCCTATAGCACTCTATGGATGAGGTTCAATGAAATATGGTGGCAGTGAACATGCCTCCTAATTTCCGCAACCACACAACAAATCAACAATCTGCTGATGAATAATACTGAGAGAGATTATTAACGATACACTATGCCTATGCTTAGCTATATCTGCGCCGTCAAAAGCTAACAGACTGATTCAGAACATTAAGAGAATCTATGAAAAATGGCGTCCGAAGAGCTCTTTGTACTTGACCATTTAGTGTCAGTTTTTGAGCTCGATCATGGAGAAATTGAGCGTGTTTTAACGCATGTTCAGATAAGAATGTTTAGATGTGATAAGATAAGAATGTCTTGATAAGTTAGGTATAAGATATAATGCATAAGATACAAAATATGCCTAGATAAGAATATCCCACATTTTCATTGCGCAATATTTTGTGGAATGATCGCCTCCATTATGACGAATTTTTAAAAAATGCTACCAAAACGAAGCATCACCGCTGAAGAAAATTCATCCTCAGTTGTTCAATACGAGTGAATCGAAGCAACGATCATTTGCAATTCATACTACTGGACATCAGGAGAAATGAGATGCATGATCAATGAAATAGTACTAATAATAACCTGCATCATTTTCGGAATTCCCTTAAAAATAACATTCATATCCGGATACGGTTGATGATGTTCCATCATCGGATCCATTTTGGGCACACTGTTACTGCTACCCATCTTCAATTACCCTTCATCAACGTTACGTCGATCAATGTTCGTGTCGATGACGACAATCCCAAGCTGGAGATATACCGTAATCTGAAAAGTAACTAGTCAAGGTGCAATTCAAAACCTTGACAACATAAACTATTCGCATAAGAGTAATTTTTGGAAGAGGGTTCGAAATTGCACATTGTAATCTGCAAGATATATGTGAGTGTAAATGCGCACAAAAACACAGCTGTTCTAGGCTAAGTTAATTCAGTGAAACAGAATTGGTCAAACTTCTGCTTGCGAGCCGTGTTCATCTATTCAAGGACATTCCCATTTAAGAATGCAGAATTCGCGAAGCAGTAGAGCCGATACTGCACTTAAAACATTTCTGTCTACTAATCCAGTCTTCATACCGAATCAAATTCCTCACGTGATACCGTGAAATAGATATATCAACTATTCGTGCAGTTCATGACGCAATAACTGTTGGTAATAACACTGAGTAAATATTTTTAAGTAGAGCTAGGTAAGAAGAAGGGCCAGAATCGGGCTCGGGGCCCTCAAGTCCCTGTACCCTGAGAGTGGGAGATAGGATCAAGAGCCCACGAAACCTCGTAGGTGCTCAAGAGCCACGAATTTCAGGATCCCCGACAACGCTGGTTTGAGGTGATTTATAAAAGGCATGATGAGCTGCGATGAACAAAAGAACAGTCTTAGGGAAAACACTTCATTCAAACGGTGAACGGATGTATATTTTTGCCAATATCAACTAAACTGCTGAGTTGGTAAAAGAAACGAAATGCGCTGAGCAAACAATATAATCGCTTAAATCTCTGTTCTGGGTCATACTCAAATCTTGTCTTATGTAAAGAACTACCATTTCATCTTCCGCTCACTACCTTTCTATGCTTGTTTAATGAACTTTCGTTCGATTTCGAATAATATTTTGACGTCAATTAAACATAATACGAAGGCATAATGTAAATGCAAGCAACCACTAACATAACGTTCGAAACATTCGCTAATAACAAGAGCACCATCAAAACGAAGAAATTCATACAAATTAGCTCTGAAAGCGAGACTTGCAAACGAAAACTAATTGAATCAGTCGAATGTGAAATATGTCGAGAATAATTCAAGACACCTTCGAGCATAAATCACTCTTTGCAAAGAAATTGAATCTGACAATGAAACGGAGATGAGTTACATCGCAACCTTGTTTTTCACTGACACTGCTCGAATAGAACGAATTGACTTATTGGTCAGTTTATGTACGGAGGAGGTGAAAAGGAAACTCATTTTTTGAGCAATACATCCTAGAGATCATAAGAACGCTGACTTAATGCGGTCAATAGTTTTGTACGGTGATTTGTGAGCAAAAGTTATATTTCTGGCGAATTTTTGACTTTTTATGACGACTTTTATCGCTAAACAAAACAACTGTCGAAGAGTTTGTTGAAGAGAAGATGAGAAGAGATATTACTGAACGAACTGACAGATCAACGAATTCCATAATTAAATTCACAGCTTAAAAAACACTTCATCTTGCATAGATATTCATTCGACTTTTGCAGAAAACTTGATAACATTTCCATTTCATATTTCACTGATCACTTAGCAGAAAGGAATTCGGCTATTAAGCAGTTATTTGGGTAGACAATGAAAATCGGAAAATTTTCGANGATGTGGATGTCGATAATCAGCGAGAGAATTCGATTAACCATTACGGTGTTATTTGTATTATAGACGGCTAAGTGTTCAATGCGAGGTTGCATAGAATAGCTTCTTGTGTTGAAAACGCATCTCATGTGTAGCGAGCATAAAGATCGTGGAATCAATAGACAGATCTTTAAACGATGCGAAAACTTTTTAAAGCGGATAAACGGACAACAAGTTATGTAAAATAAATGAAAAACATCATATTAATGGAGATACAAACCTCTTTCGATTGGTAGAAATTTTCAAAAGAATTCGAACGAATCGATGAAAAAGATGGTTAATGAACTGAATTCTAAAAAACTCGCATAAACAATGCTATCAGCTGCAGTCATATTCTAACAACAGTAATTCATACTCATACTCATGGTGGAGGTAACGATATGATGCAAGTAACTACTCGTTTAGAAATACTTTCAAATTCATCTAAACAGCTGAAGCAATGGATTGGAGCATAATACGAATTTGCAAGCAACATAGAATCAGGGAAAGTTTCGTAACTGATTTTGACTTTCAAGGATTATTAATCCCAATTTTTTACTTATGAAACGATGAATTTGAAACAACAGTACACAAGATTAAAACATCAACTCAAGCAAAGCCGCGGATGATAAATGGGAGATTTCAAAGAAAATTTGCAGAATGGAATTCAATCGACTTTCTTTACGACGAAGTCAATCGCTTCTAGAATTTTTCCCTGATGATTAGTTCATTGATGCGGCATGGTGACTTCTGAACTACAATAAATCAGTCTAACAAAATGTTTTTTTCCGTCTCGTTAATGCAGTCTAAAGCAAGATAGCAATGAAAAAGGGAAAGGGATCAAACGGAAGCAATGCAGCAAATCAACACTTACCATCGTTCGAAAGTGCAACTCAATGAAGATATTCGAACTGCATTCAGTTCTCCAAATGATGTTCATTCAAAACAACAAACATTCTTCATGATAACAAACAAATGCCACTAATAGATAACTGGAAGAGAAAAATGATATAGAATATGAAACCAAAACCTCAAATCATCAAACCTCACTATTGCGCTTGGTAAGCACTACAGACAAACAGAAAATTAATCGGCAGTTGAACGTGTTTTGCGTAAGATTAAGATGGTTCTAAACCTATTCATTAATCGACGGTAATGACGTTACAGATAGGAATTTCACGTGAATTCAGCAAAAGAAATATCAAAATAAGGTGTCAATTTACTGGAATCATAGTCTTGAAGAGAAACAAGAGGAAGTTTCGAAATTAAATCACTGGCGGAAATCAACTTTTCGGACGCTCACTGGAATTAACACCTTAAAGTTTACAACGATTTTCGATGTGAGATTTGTGCAAAGTAACGCTTCGATTGGGTTCTGGCCACAATGGGTGTTTCTAAGACGCTAAATTAGATTGACTCTGACATTTGTTGCAAAACAATAATGAAAATAAGAGCAATACTTACTTCATTCAACTCAAAACAATGGTTGTTTTGATGGACAGCAGTGAAGCGAATGATGAGTAATGCATCAAGTCGATTAACGATTTTTGCGTTGAAAATTCATCCCATTGGGGATCACTGTTATGTTATGCATACCGCTTTAACACCAGTCAAGTATCATAAGATGGATGTTAAGTTGAGATGTTAGCGAGATGATAGTCATCTTCAGCGATTCCAAGCAGGCTGAGCTATTGATTTTAAAGAGAATTTTGAATGTTTTTTCGAAGGAAGCTAGCGATACATT